TATCTAGGTTACATACTTGTTGATAGATATAATCAGATGACACACGTACAATAGCATATTTTTATCTTCATGACATCTATAATCTAACTTCAATGCTTCACAGGAAATTTTCTGTGAAATAATGATAATTACATAGTAAATTAACCAGACATTCTACAAAAATACAACATGTTTCAATGTAGGAAACACATATGAAGTTGGAATATTTGTTCTACAAATTCATAGAAGTTATATTCAGGAACTCAAATAATTGTAAGTATTGAATAATCAAGACACAGTATTATTAACTTTTGTAATAACAGTACATACATTGTAAATGCCCACAATATGAAGTTGTGTAACCTGTACAGAATGTGCGTGAACAAAGTGGACAAGTCAAACTAGTTAACTGAGAAGACGTTAATAGAATTGAGGTAATTAGAATAATCTTTTCAACTCGCCATTCCAAAAGCGAATGTATTAAGTCAATTAAGTGGGATGTTACTGGAAGTAAATAAAAGTAAACCAAACACTCGGGACATTAGAGATAATTTAAAGTAAATAAGTGTTCAAAAATGCAGAAACATCTATGTACAACTCGATAATTCATTACCTGTATAGGGTCGTGGAAATTGGTTAGCAAGAAATCTCTGGTAAGATGCTTGATTTTGATGTCATGATTATAAAATCTTTACGAAGTAGTCAGCAACTAAGTTATTAGTGGAAGAAAATGATTTTCTTAAAGCTTAGTATTAATTCATTGGAAGACCACTGATGAACACGAGGTTTCACAATAATACGATAAGCCTTTATAAACGTCAGTGAACGAAATTGAGTACAGTTAGAAGTATGAGGGCGGTTATCTTTTCCCTATCTCTCACACCAAGAAGGATACTTTTGATAATCAAACTATGTTAGAAGTAGCTTTCACGACATTTAAATGTCTTTTTATTACTTCAGTGAAAATATCACTTTCTTTAAAAGATCTGATTAGGGATGTGTTCAGAATGTCCTCTAAATACACGTCTTTTACTCCTTCCTACCTGACTTTCTGCTGTAAGTACTTTTCAATTCACAAATACATCCAGAGATGACTCGAGATAGATACTGAATCAATCTTCCATTGATTTGAGTGACATTTGTTATTACATTTTTGAAAACGGTCGTACAGGAGAGAAAAGTTTTTTTCTGAACTCTAATCCTTTCATCAGTTCTAGTTAGAATCTTATCTTTTTTGAACACAATACGGATGAAGATAAAAATTTTAATAACCGCTGGTTATTCTGGGATTTCTGTTAACATTTTTCCATGCTTCATTATACATTTTCAGGGATACCTATTTTCATAAGATACTTCAATGTGTGCCTTTTATTCTTAATGGGTTTTGGAATTAACATAGGTATCACTAAGGCATTTAAAATTATCAACATTCAACAAACGCAGATTTTACTCCCCCTTTGCAAAGCTCATTGCTATTAAACAACTTCAACCTGCACTTTGTACACAGAAAGAAAGTGCTACAAATCTCTTATCTTCATAGTAAAATAACTGTAATGATGTGATATTTGTCTATAATATGTTAGTAAAGGGTGATAAAGATTGTTGTATGTCATCGAAATCAATAACCAACCTAAGTTAGACAACCATTGAAAACGTGAAAACATTGAACTGCAATTTTATCCTAGTATTCATGTCCTGAGAGGAAATTTTTGGAACTCAAGTGAAAAGCCGTAACTGGTAGAACTAAAACGTGTTGGGTGTGAGTCATTTAGCTATTGAGGACACTAGATGATGATGGCGCAATTACATGGATTGATTGAATTAAGATTTTTAACCCACTGGGTCCCGGAGTTCGTGCACGAGACCGAAGGTCCTGGGTTCGATCCTCACAGGCTGATCGCAAATGCTCACTGATGAAGAATCACACTAGGACGAAAAAGCCGTTCAGTGCTTCCAGGTTTTGACAGCTTCTTTAATATAGATCGGTTAGTGATTTCAGTGATATATTATGTATACTTTAAATTTAAAAACATTACGCCGACATTTATGAGGTTGATTCAATTTTATGTGAACTATCTGCTTTGATAATAGGATCACTTATCTATCAAGAAATTTTCTTCATTCTGTTTCTTAATTATTACTTATAATATCGCTCTATTCTTTCAAAGACTTCTTTATCAACGGAAATACTAATTAATATTCACTACTATGCTTTATTTATTAAGGTATGAAAAGCTTTGTTCATAATAATGGAACCTATTGTAACTTTAGACCATCTGAAGTTGAAGAGAAGCCACGAAAGATAGTTGATATGACAGGATATAAAGAAAAAATTACATTCTTTTACTCATCGTGAATTTTGTTCAACATTAATTCCTTTTTTTAATTTAATATGGTGATTATTCTGAATAATATTAGTTTAGTATTATTATTATTATTATTATTATTATTATTATTTTTAAATAACTATTATCTAATCAGTAATGATTGGTTTATTTACATTCTAAAGGTATGTCCTTGTCTGTGCGTAATTAATTTCGACGTGAGTGAAGAAGTGATGCGTAGTAGACTATTGAAAAGAGCAGAGACTAGTAATCGTGTTGATGATAATGAAGAGACAATTGTGAAACGTTTTCGCACTTTCAATGAATTAACAAAACCTGTTATTGAACATTATAAGCAAGAAAATAAAGTAATCACTGTAAGTGTTTGTAGAAAAGATTGATCTTGTATCATAATTATGCTTATGAATATTGTTTTTGCCATTAAAGTATTTTTGTTCCTATTACATTGATTTACATAACAATGAATTACGAGTAAGGATTTCAGTATACAGCTCTTTGATAATTTAATAATTACTACAATACGTTTTTGAATAAAATACAAACATGTATTTTATCTCCTTTTTTGTTTTACGCTTTATCAAGTGCCTGTACATCTATTTATTGTCTTTTCTAGATTGTTTGTTTTCTATTGTTTATATAATATATAAACTTTCTTTTGAAAATATCATAAAGTAAACAAGTAAATCATCAATTTCTTATTTAATTTGTTTACTTATTGAACTAATTAACGTTTAATATAAAAAAAATTAGTAGTATTTTAACTTTTAACATAAATTGAATGTTTTTATGACATTTTAAAAAAAGATAAACAATGACCAAAAGTTTAGGATACAATATTCTTTTATTTATTTACTTTAACTATGCTCAGCGTCACATGCATCATATGACTTATTATAACGTGGTGTACTCTTCTTATATGTGATTTTATTCTAATCGATCAAAATGGATGCAAAATCAAGATATAAATGAGTGTACTTTCGACTAGGGTCATCGTCTTGTTTTGGGTTTAATAAATCTTCACTTGTACCAGTGTTGGTGTTTTTGCTTCACGTCGTGGGGATTTCAGTGGTTCCTCGTTTTTCAAATACAATTAATAAGCTACGTGGATATGATGATAGTGAAGTCACTTTACTCTGAAAATCATGTTCTAAATTTTTTTTAAATTTAATAAAGAATCAGAATATATAAAAAAATAAAACTTAGTTTACAACTCAAACGTGTTTAAATTTCCACCACAAATTAAGAGTACAGTATATTTTCAAAGAGAAAGTAAGTTTGTAAGTTTGCGGAATTCCTCCCATAATCGAGACTCTAGATATTACCACGAGTTCATAATCCTGTTCCCTGATATTATTTGAATAGTTATATTCTAGTAAATAAATGAATTTCAGTAAGCGTAATCTGCCAAGAATATTTTCTGTTTTTTGGGATTTACTGTTAAACAAAATGAATATTTTCGACCACCTAGATCGCATAAAATGCTTAATTGAAATAGCTTATATGTATATATATCGTTTGTAATCTAATAATTTTTTTTGTGAGTCCGTGAGGAGACTTTATTTCACAATTATTTACTAATTATCTAAAATTATTCATTAACAACAATCAATATCAAAATTAATGTTGTCAATACAATCAACCAACTATTTACTTCACTAGTGTCAAAGTTTGTGATGAGTTACCAAGTGCGACAGTTTTAGGACTGATAAAGATATCACCAGTAACATTGGATTATAGTATTGATGCCTCATAAATTAACTGAACGTAAACATGTGAACCATTGTCGTCTGAATATGTGGTCTATTACCAACGCTATCGCTTATTCTGATTCTTATACCTAATTGAATTATCGGTGGGCAATCAGAAGAATATAGAAATAGTTCTTCACTGTTGCCTAATTATCCATGATTCAAGTGATATTGTAGTGAACAGAACACGACTGGGGACAATCGAATGTATTTAAGCAAACATTACAGACTATCTCAGTAAATTCTGATAACCAAACAATGAACAGTCAATTTGCAAATTAACAACCAATTGTTTCAATCTTCACTGTTTCTTCTCTTATTCCATTGCTCATGCATTTTCCAAACGATTGCGCTTCATTTCAGTTCTTTGCTCATCGGTGTTCTGCCAAGATACATTCTATGTTTGACCCACACCATATACTACTTATATGGATATAAGTAGACCACACCACAATATCAGACTGTGATAAAAGCTATCTCTAAGTTTTGCCTACAATTCATAACTGTTTTCATAAGATAAATTCTAGAAATTCATTTTTACTGCTTATACATTACAGCTATTTCACATGTCAATATGAAACATGAGTTCGCATAAATTCTAAAGATACTTAAATGAGACATCAGTTTGGAAAATTCAATATTTATTATTTCAAATTCTTGATCGTTTTAAACAATGAAACATTCAAATATGCCTCACTTGTATCATAAAATGTGACTTAAGGTTTTAGGAATGAGTTAAGATCTTTTCTCAAAATAGACTGTCGTTGTCTCCGTGTAGCTGTCAATCAAATTCATATTGTTCCATCATGTATTCACAGTATACATCAGTATAAAATGAAAACAGTAAGTTAAGTGACTGTATTACCATTCCATGTAAGAAAATAAGAACTTTTCAGTTAATTTTTCAAAGCATTTCTTTATATTTTAACACATTATCGCTGATATAGCTTACAGAAACAAGAAAAGAAAATATCTATAGTTTCCTTTTATGTTGTGATTTCAATGAATCATACTTTTATTGGTTAAGTCCTTTAGTTGACATTGTAATATCACACATACTTCATAGCCTATGTGGTTCAAGATTAATTTTAGTAATTATTGGACTCAATGGTAAATTATTTAAATGAAGTAATTGTTCACCTTGATATCTATGTCGAGTTCTTATTGTGTTGAGATCAGCTTGTAAATATTGATTAATTCGATTATATTGCATAGTTAATTCACTTCTAACCGTTTGAATTTCTTCATTATTTTGTAATAATTTTTGCAATAATTTCTTATTTGACTAAAGAATAAAAGGGAAAAGCATAAGTAAAAGAAGTTGTACTAAGCTTATCACTAAATTGAGGTATCAAAGGTTTGGATGAAAAATGTTAGGATAATTATAGTCAACTGATAATTTCCAGGTACATAAAAATATAAAGCATATTCCGTATATTGTTCAGTTCCAAATTGCTGGGTACAATTCAATCAGCGCTAAAATCTAGGAAATGAGAAATCGGAAACTGTTAGTACAGTCCGAAAAAATTAATGAAATCTCTAGAGTTTCGATGATAAGAATAATTTAAACTCATAAGATTTAAATGTAAAATTGTATGGCAACAAAGATTTTCCACTTTATGTTTGATTAGTTGTTGTTAAAGTTTTATTCACAGAAATATTGATGTAATATAACACTAGGAAGAATTAGTTTACGATTTTCAAGAGAGTAAGTTATACTAAGTTTAAAATGTTAAAACCGGTTTTTGAAATTAATATGGTAAATTTTTGAGTTATTATGAATCAAATATCGGTCAAATCGGTCCCTAACTATCAACAGCGAGAAAACATAGACCCTTTCAAATAGTAATAACTATATCCGTTAGAGAAATTAGTGGCTATATAAACTCATTAGTTTATTGAATATTGCTTTGTAGTTAAAAGTGATAGGTACTGAGTTGAAGACGTATTGTGAACATCAACATTGAGACCCGATTGCATCTAATTAACAGATTCCAAATAGGCTGAAAAAGGGGATCGCGATTTCATTGATAGTCACAATTTGTAAAAATAGCAAAGTTATGGATTGTCTGTAGGAAGAACTTTCAAAAGGTCGAAAATAAATGGATGTTTCTTTTCACACTTCTTTAGTCACTGGCAATGTACTGTTTGCATTCAATACATTTTTGAATCACGATATGATTATCGTGATTATGGAAGATAATAAAGTTTAATCAAAACCCACATAAAGATTTCAAATCTAAATATATATGTTAAGCAAGGTGGTTTACAATTTCTGCTTAGGTAATTTAGGTAATTCAAATTAAACTAACACATGAATTTCGCGATTTGCAGATTCGTTTTTTATGCAGTTTGGATAGAGTCTAAAATTTATGGAAGTTCTTAGAAGTTAATGAATGATGTACTATTACTTTCTTCATCAAGTTTGATGTAAGAACATATATGAAAGACTTTCGGAAACAAAGATATTCCTATAGCAGAAAACTAATTACAAATATTTTTCTATTGCTACACATCATATTCTGGAAACTGCATTCAACAAGACCTTAATATAAACTATAATAACTAAAGAAAAGTGATATAGCTACAGATATCCTGAAGAGGAGAATTTTCAACTCGCTCAACAGAACGTTTTCGCAGAAACTTTGGGGTTTATGTTCTCCAGCTGACCAATATTCAATAGTTGAAAGCGTGAGTCAATAATCAATAATAATCTAAAGGATAGGCTCTCTCGTTTGACCAATTCCATGAGCGTACATCATTCTATCTATTCGTCTGGAGCCAGGTACATAGTTTGTTCGATGCGTATTTAATCCAAAAGAATTCAAGAACAGCACCCAATGTGGCTGAAAAGAAGCGAAATTGGCTCTATAAGAAGCTCTATAATCGAGCATCTTGTGAACACAAGTCATTTGATGAAAACGGGCTCTGTGTTGAAAGTCATCTACAAGGTAGGTGGAAAGCTGCCAAAGATAGTTAGTTCCCATCTTTTATTTATGAGGCTTTTGTCATACATTTGGGAAAATAAAAATTCCGTAAAATAGAACTTGTATAACCCCTTCCTCTATCATGGTCTTAAACTCTCGTAATTTTTTTTCATTTTTTTCTTTCACAACCATCGGCTTTCCCTTTATCATCTTCACTTAAGACCTTTTAACCCAAACTGATTTATTTCTGTTTCTGTTATCTTTCCGATTACATTTAATCTCAATTACAGTATTTTATCTTGTCATACCAAGCCTTCACTCTTCAATTATAATTCTTCACCTGTCTTCATGATGAATATTTAAGCTCTCATTTATAAATTTATCATCATTTGCATTGTAAAAATAATGTTCTTATGCCTTTTTTTACTTTACCATTACCATGTTCAGCGAAAGTTTCATTACCACTATCACTGTCATTACTATCCTTTTGAAAAACGAGAGTATATTTGCGGTTGAACAAATTTGAAAATGAATTCAATCAAAAGGAGAAATCTTCGCTGAACCAACCTTTCTTATCTTACTATATTTGAACTGAATAACAGGATTAGGAATAAAATAAGGTATTCTTAAACGACAGTATTATAGATAATGAAAGCAATAAAAATTACCTTGTTTGGTGTTTTACTCATGATCTGATTCATCATTTTTAGATTTCGATTATTAGCCACCTTGTGCTTTAAACTTGAAAGAAATAGTCGGTGCTAAAATAAAAACAAGAGGTACTAACAGAAGCATGCACTATGATAAAAGGAATAAAGAAGCTATTATTTATTTAGATTTTAGTTATGTGTGGTCGATAGATTTGCTGACGCTTAGATCCGTTATCTGACAAAATTTCTAGCTTGGTTAGAAGATTTTCTGGCACTTATCATTAGGTGATTCCTAAAAATGTTGATATCGAATACTGAGTATATCGGGTATCACCAGAAACAGTATTACATTTCTTTGCCAAGACAACTCTACTTTGTTACGTTATACATGTTCAAATCAATTGTTGAATGTATTCTTTATTAATTTAATAAACTGTTGATCAGTCATAGATAAGATTTTTATTTAACCGGTGAAAATTGTCTATTTTCACTTAGCATGTCCGGTTATATACTTACCATTTGTTTCGTAAGAAATGTACATTCATCAGTTAAAGCATAAAAAACTGAATTTCTTGTACCATTTATAACCTGTTGAATTTTTTCAAACGTAATAGTTAAATCCAATTGTAGTGTATTAACATGGGATAAAGTGGAATCTATAATTTTCGAAATGTTTTCTAAATTCAATGATGTTGAATAACTTTCATTTAATACTTCAACTTGACTATCTATCTAAAAAGCAACAAAGAATAAAATAATGAAATATTCTTTATGATGCATTTCATCCTACTGTTGTTAATTCTTCAGGAATTTCGTCACATTTCTTGAACTGTCCTGTACTTTGCTCATGCTCAATTATCCACTGATCAAGTTTACATTGAACACACTTTACATCCTAATAAATTATTGAGCAATAAGATATATGTGATTTAATATTTTAAAATACCTTAATTGTATTGAATAGTAGATGCAATTTTGATTCCAGAGAGCATTTAAGATTTTTTAACAATTGATACTCGGCTTCTGCAACTTGTTGAACAGTATCAACATTCTATTAATGAAGTTTTAAAAAATAAACAGAGTGATTGTTATAGAGTTAAAGTAAACAACAAAATTACTTTAGACCTTCTTGATTTGATTCTTTTAATTTCCGTTTGATTACTTCTTTCAGTTTCTTGACGTATATCAAAAATTAATTTTTCCATGTAACATTGATAACGATACAATGATTTGATGACATTTTGGTTTGATTGTTTCAGGCGTAACAATTTTCTGATAATGTACTGAACGCTTCGATTATGGACATATGTTGCATGGGTGCCATTCATATTTATTGATTTAAGTGAATGGTTTATAAATTGTTCACTGATTTTCATACATGTATATACTTGCTCTGATAGAATGTTGATTCTATCAACAAGATGATTTACAGTATTTATGATAAACATGTTAGGTATAGTTGGTATTACGTCAACTTGAGCTTGTATATTCGTTGACATTTTTGTTTATATAATTTCTGAAATGAATTGTAAAATAATTAAGAAACCACATCCATGTTATTCATTATCATTAAAAAAATTTATTTTAGCACAAACATGAGTTCACAAACAATAATAGAAACAAGGTTGTTAGAGCGAACTGAATTGACACCTGAAGAGTTAATAAAAAGCTCATTTTTACTTTAATTAAGCACCGATGACAATGCTCAGAATGACAACGAATGCTTCGCAATTTAATAAACAAGCTCAAAAAATCCAATACCACCTGAAGTCATCTACCCAAAGTATAAAGTCTTCTCTATCAGTTCATAGTGAGAATATTAGTGTTTCATCGACTCAGTCAATCATACACCGATTCATAAATTTTAATGGAAAACTTCAAATGATCATATTTAATAACAGTGATAATTGACTGGAATCAAAAAGAATTTCAAATAGCCTCACGTATTTTAGACAAGTTTGTCTTCAAAAAAATATACCTCTTAAGATTTGTTGATAGACTAAATGCTGATTTCCTTAAAGCATTGATTGCAAACAGTTTTGCATAGGCTGTTCAATAATTAAGATTCTAAAAACAACCAATTAATTAAAATCGAAGAAACTAATAACCGAATGATTTGATGAACTTGGTTGAATAATCTTATAAAATTAATTACTAATGAATAATTATTGTTGACTATATTCACTTTAAGGTTGTCTGTTTTATGTTGATACACAAGACTTTCGAAAAAGATCTAATTAAAACTGTCCTTACTCAGGATCCATTTTAGTATGAAAGTTTTTATTGAAAAATGTTGTGTTTTTTTCTGGTCAAATATTGGTTTAAAAAAATAACATCTGAGTAGTGTGTGTAAAAAAAATTGTGAAAAGGTAAAGAAGGTTTTCTAGATAGATAGTATGGGATGGAAGGTCTCTTGAAGATATATTTATGTTAGAGTTTTGATTTGTCTACTGACTACTTTCAATAAGTGGATTCATTATTTTTTTTTAAATAGTTCACTCAGATAAACAAGGAAACCGGGTAGTGGACAATCAACCAAACTTGTTTACTGCACCTTTTGGTGTATAGATGTATAAAATAAATAACTTATGAATGAAAATTATGAAACATACACACACTGATCAGTGGATTTCATAACATTGTTTAGAAAGGTCTTTCTCCATATAAAAAATGAAGAATAGTTTCATAGCTGTATTTAGTGGTCATGACATTCAAGCATAAAAATTTACATAGTCCTCTATTGATTTTGAGATTTCGATTCACTGGTTTCAGTAAATAATCAAGTACAACATATTAATTATCAGAAGGGGTTTTTGTGGAGATTTAAAATTTTCGTAGCAGTGACCAGTGGAGTTCAAACTATGTCTGTTGTGAGATAGGAACTCATTGTTCTACTTCGTGGATTGGTTGGAGTTAGACATAAACACCATCGCATGCCGGCTCATTAGTCTATCGGTTAAGTCCTCGTGTGCGAGACTGGTTGGTCCTGGGCTCGAATTTCGCGAGACGAGGTCGTGAATGCGCACTGCTGAGGAGTCCCACAATAGGACGAAACGGTCGTCCAGTGCTTCCAGGTTTTCCATGGTGGTCTAGCTTCAGTTGACTCAAGTTTTCAACAACATATTTAGTTTGAAGATAATTTATTCGCCTATTCAGCTCATGAAGTATAAATTGCATTGAATAAGTAAGTTCACGTAAAATGATTACATTCAAAATGAATTCGATGTACATCGTAAAAATGAAGTGTTTTTCTTGTTTAAAGAATAGATATTAGCCATACTTTGTAATTAAAGTTATAGGTGAATCAGATATTTTAGAAGTATTTCAAGTTTCATTAAAGAGTTAAGGCTGTAGATTGATATACGAAAAATCACTGTAGCTGGTTTTTTGCATGTTTTTATAATTATCACAGAAATAATTGTCTATTTAATAATTCTGTATCAGATACCTTGATTTACTGACTCATTTTCGTATTATTAAACCTTCTTCATTTACTTTTTACTTTCAAAGTTTGCTCTTGTACTGATTGAATACTACTTAGAAATTTCGAAAATCTATTGTTGAAAGCCATATATATAATGATTGACCTCGCTCGTAAACTTCCAATCATTTAATATAACGTCCAAATATAATCTCCTTGCCATCATTGTTTCATATTTTCCCAGAGATAACCAAGTTGGAATTGCTTTCGATCATTTGTAGGACATCTCTTCAATATTTTAGGGGGGATAGTGACCTTCGATCGTTTTGTGCATGTTTTGGTAATAAATTATAAAGTGCATTAGTACGTAGTTATAAATTAGGATTTATGTTTATATGTGCTCATTCAATTATAGTCAAATGAAGTAATAACAATAAAGTAGATTTGTCAAACATATGGCTTGTTCTATTTGTAACTGACTGATGGTTTTGAAAATGGTTCCGATTCTGTTTGTCTATGTTCGATTGTATCAATTGTATCCGAACGTAGAGCACAAATGTATCAAATATATCCCATTTCACCTTTTACTTCCAGTCCATTAACGTTTACTTACGTATCAATAAATACATGTTCTGATTTCACACTGCAAAATTATTGTCTCCAGCCAGTTAGAAAAGATAATAAACTTGGTCATTTTTTAAATTTCAATTAACTAATTTTGTGACAGTTTTGTTGAAAAAAGTTTGGATGTTTTAAGGAGAAGATTTTCTATGAAGAACAATATAATTCAGGTCTACAAAAGTTACTCACAAATAATTGAGTGTTATTTAGCAAAACTACAGTTATTTAATGAGGATGTACATATCAAATCTGGACTTATCATTAAAAAAAACCCAAAATGAGTCAAAAAAATTTAAATTTATATACACAGTTTCCTTCATCATTTTGAAAAGAGCAAGAACAAAAGTTCTAGCAGAATAGCATCAATTTATTCTATTTCGTTGGTTCTCGCTAGATGCTTACAACCTGTGATGTTGAAAATCATAATTACATAATGGGTTTAAATTACGAAAATGAAAGGGTTTAGTTTGAAGTTATATTGAAGACACATTAGTATCGTACAGCAAGGGTGTAAATAAATTTAATAGAGGCAAAATCCGACTAACACATTCTCGTCGTGCCTCCTGAATCATGGCAGCCATATTATGTACTAACGTGAGCGGTAATGTGAACAGTGGAAATCGGCCTAATCAACCACTCTACCTATACCCGCAAACGATTACGAATGCTACAAAGAGTCATTGCGTAACTATTGAGGGTTCAAAAGAATGGTAAAAAAAGAGTTTGCCCAAAATGAAAAAATAGAATGTGAGTGTTATGTAATGGTTCTGAGTAAGCAATGCAGAAACAGCTATCCTGCTCCGGTAGTTGTGCCGTGCTTCGATGTAGCACTCTTCTCCAGAAGAGCCTACTAGGCTTCACCATATTCCTATGGCTGGAAGGGGCAATAGACTGAATATTGTAAATACGTACCTTATGTAAAAGAAAATTCTACAACATTGATTGTGACAACAGTTCAAACGTTCAGAAGTAAGTGATTACATAATGAGTAAATGCTGATAGGAATAAAATGAGTAGAGCTCAGTTAATAAGATTTAAATTTAACATTATTAAAATAGTGCAGTCATTGTAACAACTTAAAGTGAGTGAATATATTTACTTGAACTCCCGAATGGATTAAAGAAAACACATCTAGATGGATAGTATAATGATTATGATTACCTTTTTGTGATGTTAACCATTTCATTAGGTTTTTGACTTATTCATTTGCTTTACAAATTATAATGTCTTATTTTTGTAAGAACAAATCCATCTGTTCAGCATAGAAGTGGTCACAAAACGTTGAAACTACAAACACATAAACTTATTCTATTGAGTAATAAAAGAAGTAATTCCGAATGTGATGCGAGGCCTAACCAACTTTTCATGAATTATTCACATTTAAATTTGTAGTCTATAAGTCAGTAATCCAATTAAAGAAAGTCAAATCGTGAAATTAATGGGAGCCAATCCTATCGATTAACCGCTTGAAGTTCCATGTTTTAGGTCATTCATGAGTCCCATTGAATATACACTTGTGTGAATAAGAGTCCGTAGATTTAGTCAGAGAGTTAGATGTCACGACATTGAAAAAAACTAACATAAATGAAGTAATTTTCATAATGTTTAACACTCTACAACTATTTGCTCAACAATCACTAGAATAATTAAATACTTGAAATTCGATTCAGAAATACTGCAGATAATATGTTCTACAATTGCTACTGAATACAGTCCATAGTTCGTTTAAACAAAGTTTCCTCCGTATCTATCAGTAGTTTGTAAGATTTCCAGTGAGTTATAATGCCGAATGTTAAACCAACAAATTGTATTAAAATTCAAAATACTAAATTTACCGCTACAAGCGAAATAAGATATTTATTATTCCTGTCAAATTATATATATTTATATATATATACTCCAAATTTACAATCAATCATAAAATATGATAGGCGAGAAAAAGGTCATACATAAGATAGGTATCACTGTACTCAGAATAATTACTTTATTTTGAGGGCAAATTGTTACCTCATATCATTTTATCCATGTGACCACTAGATAGTAAGGTCATTAAAAGTGTATCATATTGAATTGTATTCTAAAAGAAACATAAATAAAAAGAGATAGAAAGAGGGTTTGATTGGATGTTTTAATTAGTTTTACTAATAAGATTCTTTATTTTTTTTTTTAAAAATTGTTTTGATAACTGTTTCAGAATTGATCGTTAAATATTTATCAGGAGGGGTTTTTGTGGAAATTTAGTATTTTCATAGTTGAAAACGTGAGTCAATTGGAGCTAGACAACCATGGAAAACCTGGAGGCACTGGACGGCCATTTCGTCCTATTGTGGGACTCCTCAGCAGTGCGCGTCCACGACCTCGCCTCGCGAGATTCGAATTCAGGACCTACCAGTCTCGCGCCAGAGCACTTAACCGATAGACCACTGAGCCGGCATCTGTTGGTGTTAATGTTTTAGATAATTTATTTAGACAAAACATCAATTAATCTTTTATTCTTGAATTGTTTAGACTTGAAAAAAATTTTAAAAATATTATTTTAAAAACAATAGAACTCAGAAAAGGGTTTTGTGGAGATGTTCGTAATTTTATATGGTTGAAATGGTGTGTGCGCACTGCTGAGGAGTTCCACAATAGGACGGAACGGCCGTCCAGTGCTTCCAGGTTTTCCATGGTGGTCTAGCTTCAATTGACTCACACTTTCAACCATTAAATATTTCTTTGTTGAACCAATTATTTTAAAACTCGATATTTTTATTGAGATTAATTTAATAACTATGTCTAAATAATTGCTTTCAAACAAACCAGATTTTCTTAGATATTGTAATAGTGACACAATTTTGATTTTAGCAAACTGTAACCCCTTCAATCTAATTTGCTTGTTTATGAGGCTTTTTCTAAGTGCCTAACTTTATGAAAACATAACCATGGTTCTCTCTATTAATTTGAGGAAAAAAAGATTAGAAATGAGAATTTGTGCTACATAAAATAAATTCATTTATCGACTACAAATTCAAAATTAATCACCATGTTACTTAAACATTCATCGGCATGGTGTAAAAATCTATGAATTGATTCACTTAGAATAATCTACACTTAGTAGAACAGTTAAGATATCTTAAAAACCAGTATCAGTATATTTTAACGTAGGATGCCTGGGAAAAACATAACATAGATATACTGTTAATGATTTAATCTCGGTCTGATTCCAAAGATTGTCGTTCTGTTTGACCCCGCAATTATTGTCACACAAAAGCTTCTGGTCCACTAAATGCCAGGGAGAGCAGAATCAACAACTAATTAAAGAAACTTGTAATAGCCTTTATCTCACACAGAAAACGAAGTTAAAAAGAGCTAGCGAATAGACACAGTAAAAGTGGCTTGAGACAAACAGGATCTTCCGTAAGACTCATTTTTTAAATGCAAACGAAGGTGCACTAATCAGTGATTCATTTGAAATGTTCAAGCTTATACAATGTGAAACTAATAGAAGAATAGCTTTAACTGCCTTTGTAACACCATGCCTTTTGATGAATAACAACATCCTATTTCTATTTCTGATTTTTAGTTTGCTTAAACTGATTATCACACTTCGCCACAATACCGCTTTTATGGGTGTTAAAATCTCAGTGCTTAACCACAAGTTTAACACCATATTAAAGTGGACAGTAATGATCTCAAAAAATCAAACATCCACACCCCTTAGTTGACCTCGAAATTTTATTCACTTCCATTATGTGTATCTATAATTAGTTTTGGGTGTGTTATATAAATTACTATATTATTTTAATGCCGAGTGAAAAGTAGAACATGAATTATATTTGAGACACATGTTTCAGTCATTAGAATGAGGAGACAAACAACTAGAAGATATGAGTACATGTAAATGAAATTAGCAGATCTAAACAATTAATTGATTTTCTCCTCCCCAGCAAAAATAGTGTAAACTAAAAAGGTAGGGAAATGTAATATATCAGTAAAATGAGAGATAAATAGACATATTTACAAGAGAAGTATAAATGAAAACATACAATTACAAAAATAAGGGTAAGGGTTCCAAAATGACTCCCTAACCATATGCTTTACGAATTATCAATAATTATCTGAAAGTAGGAATAAATTCACATGTACATATAACAAACACTACGCATCCTTTCGAAAGTTTGACGTCTTAATAGATGAAGAGAACTCTGGATTATTTACATTGAAGAAATTACTAGGTTAAGGTAGGGAAAAATTAATTCATTATTTTGCATTTAATACGAAAATTTGATGACCGATAAGGTAGATCATCGGTATCGTCTTTAGAGTAGTCCATAATCGCATTACTTCGCATTCTGCATACAACCCTTGCACTTACATAAATATTATAATGGGTAAATAAAAAACACGTTTAGTGGCCTAGTATCTGACTCCAGTTAAATCATATGATTAATTGTTATCAAAATGTACATCCTGGCTATCCTCGTATATAATAATCAATTTAAATTGCGTTAGTAAATAACAGAATTCAATAAGTGTGGTGTTTATATGAACCAATAATTTCTTTGTACTTCATGACCTCTTGATTTCGAATTTCAAATACAATACATTCGTTCGTGTTCATCTAGTAATTCTTGATTAAATTGCGTTATTTCTGGGATTCCTAGTTTATACTATAATTCAAATACTCATAATTATTACAATAAGTCGAATACGAGAATGATGGTTCGGATACAATCTTTAGTCAGACATCGAAGCAACACAAAAGAACGCGCAACGGAGAAGGCGAGTGAGCCAACTTGATTTAACCAAGGGTTTGTAGTGACCGGCCAGTCTCGATAAGAACACGATTGGAATAACGGCAACAATTATTATTATTGTAACCAATTGTACCAGAGATTGTTTTACTGTATTTGTTTAACTGTATCAGTTTCACTTCTGCTTTCGCTCTCCGCCTTGTTTGGTTCGAACTTGCTCACGCACTGCCTGTTCGCCTGTACCCTTTGGCACGTCTCGGTATTATTTCGATACCACGAGATCGCCAATAAATACAATTGATCTGGATTAATAAAGTCTTCTGATTTACGAGCTATCAAAGGAACCAAGTCGTTTTTGAGCGCGTAAACGAATTGTAGTGGTGATCATAGTCGGTCTTCGACTCGACATCCACTACAGGTTAATCAACATTTACAGCCAGATAAAAATAAGCCACAGACATGTGGTGAATAGGACAGTATGTGCACACACATACGCTCATCTAAAATCAGTAAAAACAAATAAGCTAATAAGTGAAAAGGTCAAAATGTGGTTTAAGGAGAGTGAATAGATCGTCTTGTCTGGAAGAGAGAATAAACTACGTGGGTTGAAGATGAAGCGTGACGTTACAGTATTCCCCATGCATGTCAACTCTTAACTTTCACTCACTACATTAGTCGTAAAAACAAACAGAAATGTGTTGTATCACGAAGAGAATTAAGAATGGCAACTTTTTAGGACTATTTATGAACCAATGTAATATGTATATTTCCTACTGTGTAAGTGATAAGTAACTTAACTATTCATATTCATGTTCCTCTTATTATAAGCTTTATTTTGACCCATAGACTATTATACGATTTACCATTCTTGAGTTATCCCTAGTCTATTAATTGTTGTTCCCCCTATTCGCAGCCACTTTTGTCTTAATCCTGTACAAATGTTATTTTCTATTTTACGGTACGATGTGGTCTGGTTGATTGGTATATAAACCCAGTATGTCTGTGAATAATGATTCATACTGCCGGGGCTGTTATTGGTGTTCAGGATTTACCTGGCTAGGCTAGGCAGAAAGCTGGACTGACATGTACTCAAGACTGCTCACACGGTTTTTGTATATCATTGCTCTAATCGATAATTTGCTCTTCTCTGATTGGCGGTCTTATAACGTCATATATATCAACAATATATATCAATCGATATAACAATTGAGCACGTACGCACGAACTCGATCTAACAAAAAGCATAAACTAATGCGAAAATCCTATGTGCACTGCAATATAAATTCTTGAAGATTTTAAATTCAACGATTTACTGAATCGTTGTTTAGTTTGCTTATGATTTATCTAAAAAACTGAACAAACTATTCGTTTGGTAGTAAAGGGATGTAGGGATTGTTGAGTTACATTGAAATCACAGACTGCAATTACGAACTTATAAGTCCTTAGCAGCGAGTATCTGCAACCACACACATAGGACTCGAACCTAGGGCCTCCAGTCCCGTGTGCGGACGCCTGTTATCTAGACCACTGAGCCGACATCCAACAGTGTTAATATCTAGCTGTAATCAATCCACAGTATTACGCAATCATTTTGCCTTGTCTTTGAAAGGTAACTACCTCACATCTGACATGACTGATGTCACTGGTCACGACTCTTCAATAGAATTCAGGCAGCGAAACTGTTTATGGCCCATATCATGTGAGGATTTAGCTGGAGTCTTTGAATGTACATATAAACATTTTTTTCGTTAGATCTGGATTGAATACACAATATGAAGCATAAGGGTGTGATTATGAACTTGTTTATGGTTAATGAAATGTCCCTGGACCCTAGCTAAATAACGGTGTGTGGAGTCGCTGAATGTGGAGGAGTTTGCTGGATACCGTTAAGGTCAAGAACAATCGAAGTGCATCAATCAATGGCACGCCATGGGCTGACCCATGCGGCAGTGTGTAGTGACGTCGAGTCGAGGACGGACTATGATCGGCACTACAATTCGTTTACGTGCCCAGCAACGACTTGGTTCTTTTGATAACTTGCAAATCAGAAGGCTTTAATTAGTCCAGATAAAGTATATCTATTGGTGATCTCGTGGTATCGAAAGAATACCGAGACGTGCCAACGAGTACAAGCAAAATGGGCAGAGGGTAAGGAAGTTCGAACCGAACAAGGCGGATAGCGGGACCAGAAGTGAGTCTGATATCGTTAAACAAGCACAGTAAAACAGTCTCTGGTACAATTGGTTACAATAATAATAATTGTTGCCGTTATTCCAATCGTGTTCTTATCGAGACAAGCCGGTCACTACAAGTGTTCACTCTCTGTTTCTTGCACATACTCTTACCAATATATTCTGTGATGTCGTCGTTTGTGCCTCACAGTATCAAAGTAGCCATAGTACGATGGAAGGGTAACAAATGTTATATGTTAACAGTGGTATGATGTTTCGACGTAACGTGGGTGGTTACACCATTACCATGACCCTCATTTCCCCCACACATTCGGGACAGATCACTTAGTTTGATGATCTACAACCTCTTTCGTAAACTCATCTCGACATACCATTGAACCAGCTTATGTTTGGCATAGGATTGGTAGACACTGACATCATTTCTGACTACCAATGTTAAGTAGAAGTTAACACATGTCTGCTCGTAACACCTTGATAAGGCATATCGGATTACTCTAAATTGGCCCAAACGAACTGATCCGTTTCGCTCACATTTTGTGCCGTTTATTTGAATCATGAGATACATTTTGATATAGCATTTCCACAGATAAGAAACAGTTACTAAAATTAACTAATATCAGTTTTGTTAAAATGCCAACTATGAGCGTACACATTACAAAAGCCCATGTTAAACAAAAAAAATAATGACTTTTAAACACTAACGACATCCAACAACAACATCTAACGTTTACCTTGATCCTTTGCTCTCTCTATCTTGCTGTATTCTTCGATTTTCATTTTTTAATGAGTGCGCTTTATATATTGAGAAAAAGATACTGTTATGGCAGTTTGCAAAAGAGAATATGGTACGATTTTCCTTCGGTTTACTGGTTTTCTTGTTCCGTGAAAGCCCATTTCTCATCAAGACAGTTTTTAATAAGTCTACACAAAAATCTGTTAGGATTCTGGAGAAAATGAACTCCAGAAGTCGGAAATCATAGGCCAAGCTGTTATATCCCGAAGAGAATTATGAGTGGTAACTTTCGAGAACTATTTATGGACCAATATGATACGTATATTTCTTATTGTATAATTGTTCAGTAACCAAACTATTCATACTATATTCTATTTTACGGTACGATGTGGTCAGTTTGATTGTTATATAAACTCAGTATGTTAGAAATATAATGATTCAAATTGCAGAAGCTGTTATTGATGTTCTGGACTTAACTGGCTGGGGTAGGCAGAAATCAGGACCGACAAGTGCTTTAGACTGCTCGTACGGGTTTCGTGTGTCATTGGTCATACCGATAATTTACTGTTCTCGTCACGTTGTATATAAACTGGGTACGCAGGCTACAAAATATAACTCTGACCATGAAGGATAACACAACTTATAAGTTTAAGTTTTATAAAGTTATTTCTCATTAGATCACGGAGTATATGGCGGTTGCAATAATAATGGCTAATACTCAATAATGGCAAACAGTCCACTCAAAATCCATAGTGGTTAACGAACAAGTAATTTCTCGATATACAAATTTACGGATATCAGTTGCAGACTACAGTGGCTTGTATACAATAATAGGAGTTAAAAGTCTGAAAATCATTGCGAATAATAAATAACGCTGGCAATTTAACATGGTGTTTTCTCACAGTTTCAAACTACTCATGATACACTTGTGGCGGTGAATAAATCCCCGAAGTAAATGGTTCTGTAAGTCTTCGACATTGACGCTGACCTCATTAGTTTTATTTGACACACTTCGGCTGAGGGCGTCCAGACACGCAATGGCACCAGAGCACGAGTGGGTACGCAGTGCCACACATCATTCACAACTTGGTAGCAAGATTGAACCACACGCTTCTCAACATATTGATAGCTTTCCAAATATATCCTCGTTTCTGATTTTTGACTTGATTGGGTTCGTATTTTTTAGTCATAAAGGTGTTACGTGTGGTGGCGCTATCAAACTTCGAATCTCTGTGTCGTCAATACACTTACGCTTAAGGCGATAGAAAGTGACAATATTATATCCAAAGGAAATGGACATATAAGCTGCGAAAGGGCTTAGACTATGCTTTATCGTCTAATGCCAGCCTTAGTTAGTAACTCTTGGCTCCTGTGAAATTTCGTGGACTATCCAACATTCAGTAATCAGCCTCCTAATTTATAGATGTGTTTGGCTTGACGAATAATCTGGGTAGGGTTCAAAAATATTTCTCTAACCGTTAAAACATGTTTGGTATAAATTTCACCACCCCATGTTTGGGAATATAACACCACTTTTAACTGTCCTAAAACGTTTCAGCTCATTATTTCTATCTATTCCTTCGTAGAATATCAACGCTGTTGATCTCTGTCAAATGACTGAGGCCTAGCCTAATTAGACGGGAATAGTGTGACGAGCAAGCTAACTTCGAAGTCACACCTTGCAATCAGCGTCTAACGTGGATTACCCTTTCAACACATCAACGTACCATGGCTGCTTTGAAGACCGTGAAACACAAAGGATGTTATTTTGGGAATATGTTGGTAACAATGAGTGCAAAGACAGTGAGATCATATTCAGTGACCCAATTGCCAGATAATTTGTTTAGAGCTCAGGGACATTTCACTGTCCCTACACCCTCATCTTTATAGCTATGTTTCGTAGGTAAAATAAACCTAACAAAAATGAGAAAACGCCTTAAGATAATTAATTGTAACAAGAATGCAGCTCAAAGGATCTCAATTTGAACTAAGAGTTTGTACAACATATTGGAACTCTAATCTATAATCAGCGCTCGGTTTACTAGATGCGCAACTGTCTCATCTCAATGGGTTCCTATTCATTTTGGTCGAGGAGTTCTCTCCAGTAATATCAAATGTAATGAAAGCGTTGATTTATGCTTTACTTGCGTGCTTTTTACTGGATGCAGACGTTTCGGCTGTTTTGTTGGTTGTATGTCACGGTGTTTTGTATGTAGTAGTTTTAGAAAGACCTCTCATCAAGAACTTCTGTTGAAGAGTTTGAGGATTCGGAAGCACTCTTTGGTAGAGCAGTTTCTAAGGGATCCTTGATACTAGTTGGTTTGGTTTCATTCTTTTCACATTTGTAGGGACGAATTCATGCATCTGAACCACTAGATGGCTGTATAGACCGAATACCCAAACCTAAAAATGCGTCCAATTCAACTCTTCCTTACATCTCACTCATCAAACGTGGGAACTGCTCTTTTGTAGATAAGGCTATAGCGGCCGAAAAAGGTGGATATATTGCAGCTGTTATTTTCAATGATGCGGATGACAGTACTTTCCCAATGGGGTACAATTCATGTAAGGTTTCTCCCCTTTATCTTTTTTTGGTAGCCACAAATGTCGGTATTCCTGCAGTCATGGTTGGTTTATCTGACGGTGAGCTCTTACTGAATAAGTACTGGGAGTCACGGTATGTTGTACGTCAGCTTATTAAATATGGATTCGAATTTTAATTTTTGTAAGTGCTTGTTTTTCACACGAGTAAAACTGATGGATTCAAACTTGCTTTTCCGTTCAACAACGTCCGATTTGCTTCTCCATTTATCAATCGTTCATTTATCCATTTGGCGACTATCTCTGACACACAAGATTTTGGGGCGAGATTATAATTTATGGACGAGCCAATCAGAGGCGTCTGAGGGATTTCAAGTTCACATCGCCAATTTCAGTACCTGTCGCTCATGTACAATCGGATCACAGCTGATTTTAGAGGAAATGTGACAGTTAAGCGGCTAAAATAAATGGGACTATTAAGAAGTTCCTTTATTTGTGATTGCGTTAATCAGTTGACTTGTAGACTTTGCACAGGCTACCCTTGTGATGTTGTCTTTCGACTTAATATATGTTAGAGGAAGAAGTCTGCTAGAATGGGAACTTTTTCCTCTCGATACTGATTGAGACTAAGGTAAATTATAACAATTGCTGCGAACTGTATAAAAAAGCACCAGTATTATTGACTGCAATATTCGCAGATATTACTGAAGCTTCGGCTGTTCAGAGGTATGAGTATTGTAGGGATATATGCTTAGTAAAAATGACAAACTTACACAGCCGGACTACATACAAACAATTCTGGTCTAGGTCACAGGGACACACGTCGTTGTCTTTTCGTCGTTTCTGCGTACGCTCCCACTGACTGCAGCCCGGATGAAGTGAAAGATGACTTACAGAAATCTTTCTGAACTTCTTCATAAAGCTGAACGCTCATACATTGTACTCGTGGCAGGTGACTTTAATGCCCAGTTAGGTAGCTTAAACCAAACATAAAGACATTTAGGTGGGTATTTTAATATTTCGGCTCAGCGAACAAACAATGGTGACCGTCTACTGCAACTGTGCTCAGACAATCGTTTATTTTTAGCAGGCACTAATTTTAAGCATAAGGAGAGGTATCGTCTAACATGGTGACCACCTGCACCAAACCAATGATAGACTCAAATAAACCATACTGCCACCAGTCATCGTTTGAGAAACTCGATAGAGGACTGACGCTCGTTCCGGAATACGTGTTTAGATTCTGATCGTGCTCTAATGCAACCACGCATTCGTTTGCGCCTCACTGGACACAGAAAAACCATACTAAGAAGACCCATTAGAATTGGACTGAGTGACGGGAAAGCCAAAAATAAGTTCCAGGAACAACTGAGTTCATATTTGGGCAGTTCTGTGAAAGAGGCTGACCCAGATGTTGCTTGGAAAGATATACGAACGGCTGTGGAAACAGCAGTCACATTTCTTAGTAATTTAAACCATAGGGTTCCAAAAAACCAATGGATTTCTTCTAGGTCTATTGCACTGATGGATTCTCGTAAACTCATCTAATCAGGGTTTGAACACGAAGAACGAAATGAAATCAAATCTAGGTTAACTAAAAGTCAATGGTGAGCGGTGGTGGGCAACGAAAGCAAAAGAGATGGAAAAGGCAGCGGCTGTAGGTCAGTCAGTCAGTCACAACGTAGAACTTCGTACGTACGTACATCAGTTCGAGTTGCCATACCACATTAGCACAGAGATGCAGTTGTCGATTCAAATCCCATAGTGGTAGAAGTAGTAGGAGTATAATCAGAAATCCAAAAGATTAGGGGTTTGAAGAAATTATTGAAGGAGTATAGTACAGTGAAATAAATTTGGAAAGAGAAAAAGATAAAGACATGAGGAATTCAGAAGATTAGAATTTGGTAGAACACAAAGAGTGGATGCATCTTCGCCATTGCAAACGATTTTGAGCCATGTCATTCAAGGTCTCTAACCATCGGTTGCTGTCATCTCGCGAATCCCAATCAGGTAGTCTACACCTACCAACATGGCCCAGTCCACTTGTCAGTGACTTCATTGATTTGTGCCACGTTTTGGTCTGGCCACCCCTAGCTTTCTTCCAACCTACTCCTACACCATGAAACATTGCACGTCGGGGCAGTCGGTGGTCGGGCATACGTAACACATGTCCCAGCCATCTCAACTGATGAAGTTTCACTACTTCATCAATCGATTTGCCATCCCTACCTAGTACTCGTTTCCTAACAACTGCATTACTTACCCGGTGGTCCCAGGATATACGAGCAATGCTTCGAAGACACCTATGATCGAACACTAGTAGCCTACGAATATCCTCTACTCTTATTGGCCATGTTTCACTGCCATAGAGTAGGACGGAGCGAACTGCTGCACAGTAAACCCGTCCTTTGGTTGCTAGACGGATATCTCGCCTACGCCATAAATGACGCAAGTTGGCGAAAGCTAGACGAGCCTTCTGTATCCGTGCTGAGATTTCGTCACATACCAGACCACAAGGGCTGATGAGACTCCCAAGATAAGTGAAGTGGTCTACACGCTCAACTACTTCACTCCCTATCATTAGTTCAGGTGTCGATGCAACCCAATCCTGAAGTAACATTTTGCACTTCGAGGGAGAGAATCGCATTCCGAACATGCCTGCATAGTTGCTTATAGTGGTCAGAAGACTCTGCATGTTGTCAGCGTCTTCACCGAGTAAAACTATGTCGTCGGCGTATTGTAAGTCAACAAATTAGCCTCCTGGTAAAAGTTCAACTCCTGGAGGTTTAGCTGATGAAAGTGCTATCTCTAAAAGTATGTCAATGACAAAGTTAAACAAGAATGGGGAGAGTGGACAGCCCTGACGAACGCCACTTGTGGTAATCAGTTCTGATGACAGTTCGCCATAGGCTCTAACTCGACCAGTTGTGCTCGAGTAGAGAGCCTTTATGAGGTTAATGTACTTCTTTGGTACTCCTTTCAGTGACAAACATTGCCATAGAACCTCACGATCAACAGAGTCAAATGCCGCCTTAAGGTCAAGAAATACTACTATTGTGGGACGTCTGAATTTGTGTCTATGTTCTAGAACCTGACGTAGGGTGAATATATGGTCTATGCAACCACGTCCAGGTCGAAAACCAGCTTGGTTTTCTCTAGTTTGCTCTTCACGAGCTTTGGTTAGGCGACCTAGTATTATTGAAGCTAATATTTTAGACACTATATTAGTCAAACTGATGTAGGTACGGCTGTAGGTAACACAATACAGTTTTTCAAACTAATAAAAGAAACCGGGATTAAGAAGTCAAAACAAAATTTTTATCTGCTCTCAATCGAAGCGTTTAGGACGATGGATGGAACATTTTAAGGATCAGTTCAGCTGGTCTCCAGCTACTCTACAGCTGGCCACCAATTATAAACAGCTTGGATGGAATATTGAAATAAATCATCAGCTCCTACTGAAATTCGAAAAGCTATAGCTAGTGGGAAACGAGAAGCAGCTGGTTCAAATGGATTAACTCCAGAGGTCGTTAAGGATGGTGGTCCAGTTTTAGCGATTACGTTGACTAATATTTTAGCTAAAATCTGGGAACTGGATACACTCCTATCTGACTGGTCGCAATCACTGATAGTCCCAATATATAAGAACGGGTCAAAATCACGTAATAACCATAAAGGGATTAGTTTGACTAATATAGAATCTAAAATTCTAGCCTCAATAATTATCGGACGCTCAACAAAGACCCGTGAACTCCAAACATGAAATCAGGCTGGCTTCACGCCTGGTCGTGGTTGTATCGTCCACAGGTTTTAGAACACAGACATGCGTATCGGCGTTCAACAATGATAGCTTTTCTTGAATTGAAAGCAGCATTTGACTCTGTAGACCGAGAGGTTCTGTAGCAGTGTGTCATTGAAAGGCGTACCTGAGAAGTACATAAACCTTGTGAAGGCTCTTTACTCGGATACCGCCAGTCGAGTCAGAGCTTATGGCGAACTGTCATATGATTTTACAACCTCAAGTATTGACCGTCGAGGCTGTCTACAACCTCCATTTTTGTCTAACTTCATCATAGACCTACTGCTGAGAATAACGTTCTCGTCGTCTGAGTTTAAGCTTTCTCAATCTACGTCACCTTTGGTGAAAACGAGATATCCGCTTATCAGTATCCTGCGCAGCAGTTCGTTCTTTTTTGCTTCACGGCTTCGAAACGTGGCCATTAAGGGTAGATAATACTCATAAGTTACTGGTATTTGATCACATATGTCATATAAACATTCCTCAAATCTGCTGAGATCACGGGGTAATTGTAAGGATAGATGCAAGGCATTAGGAATTCGTGGTAACTCAGTTGGTGAGGTTGTAAATCTTCATCAACTGATATGCTTGGGCCAGGTATGCCGCTTGCGCAACCAGCGATTACCACGGTGTGCAACGCTGACTGGTGTTGGAGATGGATGTAAATAAACCTAAATTTCTACTGACATTGAACAACGGTTTAGTAGTATGACACTTGACTCTCAGCCGCTAGGTCCTGGGCTTGAACCCTTCTGCATATAATTCGGTTAAGAATCTAAGCAATATCACGAACTCTCAATTAAAATGCGTCTCAAAGCCATGTACATAAATCTGTACCTGATTAGTCAGTTACACATCCCCAAGAAGTAAACAGGTCGAAAAAAACCATTTAACCTCATGCAAATGAACTGTAACCATTAATCTGATATTTCTGTCAAGAAACTTGTTGGAAGGACCAGCTTTTAGATTGGCACTCGTGAACAAATAGTGAGTTCTTGGAAAGTTCTCGTCGTGCCTATTACACCTCTGTAATTCTCCTGCCTACTTTTTATGGTGGTTGTCTTTTACTCAGATTATTATCGTTTTCATTTGCATCAAGTTAAGTACATTGGTCACAGTATAGATCGGGAAAAATGTAACAATAATGTGAGATGGAAATGTTTTTTATTTGGTATTCAGTAGGGGAAAAAATACCAGTACATATATTGAATGACTGAATTTTTATAAAAGCTATACAGATGTTATTTCCAACACTCATTTAGTCCTACTTGTCACTCCTATTTTTATCTATACATTCAGATAGGAAGTTGTTTATGAGTATAAGAAAACAGAGGTGATTTCTAAGTCGGGACTGTATGATCTGTTAGTATCAGTGAGTGAACTTAGAATATTAAATAATCAAATCGGATAGTTTGATAACGTTACGTTATTTCGTTTGTAAACTGACTAGTTTGCGTACTTCAGAAGCTCTAACCATTTCAGTATGCTCGACGAGTTGGCATTCACTCTTCATGGTACAATATTTGAAAGCTCTCATAGTGGTGGCAAGTATTATTTCAGCAGTAATTTTCCCGTCTAAGAATGTGTCCTTATGAATACACTGTAGATCGAAATTTATATGAATAATACTTTGTTAGTGTGTCTATATCATCAACACTCAACTGCAAGTGTTTCTAATTATATTAAGTACATAAGAATTGTTTCAACAGGGATCATATAAACTAAATTTACTAACACTTTGCTAAAAAACAGCCTCGGGTCATTTTTTTATACATTGGTCGTGTTTTTGAGATTGTCGCTTTTATTTCTGTAAATTGTAACTGAAAATGTTAGTCATTTTCCCGATGTATCTATATGTTACTTTTCCCAAATTTTAACATATTTCCCTAAATGTTCGAGGGTTCTAATGGATAATGACTTATCTTGTTTACACTTAACTCTCTCACCATTTTGTCTATGGATTAAATCAAGAAGCATGTAGTTCGTATTTTTTATGTATTTGTAGTTATTTTGTTGAAATCTTACCTACTCATCGCCGAAGTATCCTGTTATATCTTATTCCACTTATAACATGTCTGCTGATATCTGTAGTCGCACTAAGTGTGGCATATGGGATTCGGTTTTTGAATCAATACCGAAGAAGATATCGATATTGCTTACCAGCCAAAGAGTTACGTAAAATACCTGAAACTTTATTTACTAAAGGTAAGTTATTCTGTTGTTGTTTGTATGTACGAAAAGCGACCCACTTGTGTTATCTATTCATTTGATGATATGGTTAAAAGTTGGCTACATGTTGGATTTTTTTCGTACAATAATAGCAGTGAATATTTGCCGTATTAGGGTTAGGCTTAGTGGGATAGACGTCTAAATTAAAAGTAGATTGACCGTTTTTCTAGTTATGCGCATAACTAACAAGAAATTTGTTTTATATTCAGTGTTTTCAGAATCTGCAATTTTATTAGGCAGAACTTAGTAAGTTTCTGATTGAGTTGCAGGTATATAGTACTTATAAAAACGATTATAAGAGATTTGCTTATTTTTTTCCAGTAGTCCCGCATTATAACGAAACTACGTACTTGGCTTTCGTTATTAATACTAAATTACAGGTATAAATGCTTATAAATATTGCTAAATCCTTTGATTATCAAAGGTACATGTGTTCCACGTAGTAGTTATTTAGTATTATCATAACCACTTCTATTATCCAGTCTGGAAATAATTCATGTATATTGATTGTTCACTAAGTAGCAACTAATGCCATTTTTGTTTAATCTTTGGCACTGATTGAATTCTGTTAATGAATAAATTTGCAATGTAGCTAATTGTCTGAGTAATTCGACATTGCATAAAGTATGTTATTGATGTTAGTCGTTTTAAAGTAGTCCAAAGGAAACCATGGACTAGGGATTCATGTTAGTTGACACTATTTTTCGATAGTCTTTTTTTCAAGTAAATTATTCGGTTACAAAATGTAGAGATTATTAGCTATTTGGACTGGTAAATAAATATTTAGTCAACCTTTTAATGCATAAGTAATAAGTACAACCTTTATATAAGTAATGTTAACCTCCAAAACTTTGAAAGGTTTAGAAAATCACTAGTTATAAAGTGGAGTACAACGGTATTAATGTTTTCATAAAATCTCTTCAACTGTATGTTTTTATTATGCCCAATAGGCCACATGATAGTTCTTATCGTGTTACAGCGGATATGTTTTTCGAGAAATGCTAATTCACCATGTCTTAAATATTCCACCTTTTAGAACTTTTATTCAGTCACTTAGGTTCTTTACACCTGCTAACTTATTTTTTAATTATTTCAGACCTATATAACCTTACTTTTATGTTAATTCCCAATAAAATTTATCCCGCAAAACTTTTTATATCCGTTTTTACGTAGTTATCAATCTTTCTTAAAAGCATAAAAGTTTGTAACTGGAAGTAGCCTAATTAAATATTGACATCTTAGGCTCTTGAATAATTATAATATGCTAGTTTTCCACCTGTAAATTTTGTTTCGTACTATATGGTGTGAATAATCCTACCAGATGCAGTGTTTTTTTGTTATGGAATTAATCAATACAAAATATTTAACCGTGCTTCTGTTATAATATTTGATTAGTGAAGAATGTATAAAGTTGTTAACCTTTTGTTGTGTAATAGGCAAAGTAGCTTACTTGGTAGTAGTTTAGCATAGCAAACATTGGTTGGTGATTTTAAGCCACTGTTGATAAGCGAACTTTTATTCGTATTTAGCGATGCATGAATTTGGAAAGCGAAAAATAAAACCATCCTATTATTAACTTCAGTGTACTGTAATCATTTTACTGGTGTTCATTCGAATCGGGTTACTTAAGTTATCTAAAATCGAATAAATACGACTAATATGAAACTCGAGTTTTTTTCGATATAAAGTATACATTCACTTTTTTTACATTCTTTACGTAGGATTTCATTTTGTGTTTAGTTGTAAAAGTAACTATTTTATTACTTACGCACTTGATTTTTTACCATTCTTACTGTCTCAACACTTTTCCCGTTTATTATGATGGATTTTCTCAGACTCCAGTGAATTTGAAACTTGTGCGATTTGTTTAGAAGATTATAAAGATGGTAATAAATTGAGAGTATTACCATGTAGGCACGGTAAGTGAATAAATCATTTAAAATAAATCATTTAAATAAAAAGCTGCATCTTTTAATAACTTTTTTTCTGGATGTATCATGTTATTTTTCTCCTTTACAACTATGAACTATAAAGTGTAGGTCACAAAAATAAAGCGATAACATTTTTAAAAAAAATAAAGAAAAGAAGGAGAATATGATGGCTAAACCAGAAATACAGTTCAATTAAGTTGCAACTAAAAGTTCTTTCAGTCAAAGGAGTTCCTTTCAATTTCAAGAGGAATGTAAGAAATATAAAAGAATCTCCGGTGGCTTCTATCTTTACCCGTGTCTGATGACGTCTCAAGCCACTAAGTTCTATCATCTCTATGATCCAAAGATGGTGAGTCGTGATAGCTTGAAAAATGCCAGTCATATGCAACTTTCATACCATGGCAGCAATTTAAAAACTGTCTACCTCCACTTTTCAACCCTGAATCAGCTCCGGCATATAATGCACACTTTGAAAGCCTGTGTAGTGCTATTGGTAAAACATGTTCAAGCTAGCAAAGTCAGCGTTTCAATATAGTAACATTGATTTATTTATGGTCATTGCATTTGAACATACATTGCCAGGAGTCAGTATTACTAACATGTTGCTACCACTGGGTGGCAACAAGCTTATGGAGACAACGATAACTAGATGCAGGGTCGTGGAGTATGACGGAAGCCAGTAGTTTGAATGTAACCAAAAGTGGACTTATCCCTCGATAGTAATTGCGTAGATTACTTGGGTCTTTTTAAAGATGGAGACGATAATGTAACAGTATCTCTTCTTCAACCCTTTCAAAGCAACTCAGTGAGTCACTTGATCAGAATTTCGCCTCTATCTTTAAGGAAGACGGAATTAGGTCGTCTCGGCCTATTTGCTTGTAGCACTTTAGAGATTGTAGTCCTTGGTGAACCTTCGGTTTGCTAGATGTATCGATAGTCACCGGCCAGGGAAGACAGGACATCACATCAACGTCTTGATTTTAAGTTCTAGTTTCAAGTATCTTCACACTTTTGAAGCTTCTCGATGCGAAGCTGTAGTTGTAGTTGTCAGTAGTTAATCAAGTAGTAAGGTTGATTATCAGGAAACTTTCGACCTAAAACTTCCATTTGTTATTGTACTCTAATCATCGAGTATTTTCATCACTTCAAGCATAAAATCTAAACAGTCAAAGCTCTAAAATAAAAGTGGTTATCACTGAGCTTTTTGCGTGACTATCGACTTATTTTAGATCTAGACTAAACACGATTTCTCATCTTCCATTTAATATCTCAATTACCGATCGAAATGTTCCTACGAATAATCCCTGTATTAAATACACTAAGATTACTACCCTCTGAAAATGGTATTATGTGTTTCTGTATAATCCTTAGGGTAGTTGTGAATATGAGTGCTTTGCTCGTCAATCATAAAATTAGTCGACAGATTTTCATTCATAACCAAGTTACTTTTATTTGTTTACTGGTTTATGTGGTTATTGCATTTGAAATTTTTGTGTTCATCCACTTTAAAACCATCCTATTTTTTAAAGCTTACCACAGTAAATGTGTAGATCCATGGCTTTTAAAACGTCGTGGTGTTTGTCCTATATGTAAGAAAAAAGTTCACAATCGTCCCAGAGTCAACATTTCAAACTCTACAAGATTTAGACGCGCTTCTGCATATGCCACTACATCTGAAGCTCCACTTTTGGATGATTCATCTTTCGAAGAAGATTCTGATTCAGAAGATACAATTTCATCACCTCAATTTAGTTCCTTCGGTGAGGACGTCCATTCAGATGAACATACTCCACTTATTAATGCTTCTGCTGACCAATCAAGTGCTTCATCACTTAAGCGAATGAAGATGACTGCCTCAATCCGTGAAACTTTGGAAAGCTTTCTCACAAATGTATCAGGTTCTTATTCCAGAGGTCATAGTTCATCTGAGCATGAACAGGGAACTAACAATGTTAATACAGCCGTGGAATTACAACCTGAATGTTCTCAGATTGTTGCTGAATCTCTCGCAACAGGTTAATATTTTTTGTTTTTTGAAAGAAAATTTCGGGTTGAATTTTGTCCAATGATCTCAAAAATATAAATCCCAGGTTCTGTCTCATATTTCGTGATTAGGAATAACATAAGACATCAATAAAAAATCTGGGTAAATCCTGCCATTGCACATATTTATCATTTTGTTCGATTGACCTGTATTATTCATTCGATAGTAATAGTAAAAGTACTCTCTTGAGTCAATACATGTATTTACTCACAGTAAAGAAATAGCATAGATTATTCACTATTGGGATAATTTCTTATCATGTACTCACTTAACTCGGTAATGTTCAAGAATATTTTTCTATAAAAGTTTTTAACAGTGATTAGCTGTCAATCACCATTCGCAAAGTTCTTCGAATATTTGTGCTTCTAAAATATTTTTATCGTATACTGTATTTAGTGTAAAAGTTCCAAAGTAAACGTCTATTGCTTCCTCAAATAGTAAATACGAAAGGAAACATACGAAATGTGATTTTTCTATTTCAATTTTCTAATCACTAAGCATCTTAAAAGGTTTCAAGTTTTTTTATGGAAGCACATGGTTTACATACATCATTATTTAGTTAAAATGAATGTCAAACAAGATAATTTATTCTCACAGTTTAAAAAGAGAGGTACCCCGTGGATTTGAGCTGGTTTTTAACATCAGAATAAATGAATGTAATTATCAGCTTTCGGTAGATTCATAAGTATCTCATACTTTTATGAGTCAATAACTGTTTTTTGGGAGCATATATTACTAACTTATTTGTACTAGTGATAGGCGGTCGTTTAAAAAAAATATAACTGTCTTATCTTTAAATTGATCATTGATTACTACATTAGCCACACATACAATTCCGTATATATTACAGTTTTGATGTATATATTAAGTGAAAACAAAACTTGTATATATTAAGATTTGTTTATTACGTAAAAATGTGAAACATTTAAACAATGTATTGATTTGAAATCAATGGTAAAAGTCCTACTTTTTTCTTTTTTTTTCTTGATCACTTGATATTCATTATTTAGTTGAATAATTCATGTGAAAAAAAACACACACACAGTGATTGTTGTTTATGCGAAAGTATTTCTTACTTAAACCACTTTTTTTCTTATTCATTCCTCTTACACATTGTTCTAAAATGTAAAATAAATAAATTCGATACAATTCTTGTATAATCTAACTTTTATACTAAGAGATAATACTTTTATTCTTAATTCCTTTCATTCTTAACCTTATTTTATATGGATTGATTTAAAATAAGAATTTTTGTTTGTAGACATTTAACGGTTCAAAGTGAATTGTAAATGGAAATGACACTTAAAATATTTAGAAATTTTATTCATAAAACTATCTTAATTATGTGTATGCATTTACTTTTTGCCAGCGTCAAGTTGAATTTCTCGCTGTTTCTTTGAAAGGCCCTGACTTATAGAGTTAACAGTCCCGACAAATAGGTAACTTTGCACCGAGATTGTATAGTGATCATTTGATTTCACATACTAAATAATTGTATAACAGTTCTTCATAAACTTAGTTTCCAACTTATGGGAAATAGTGTCTGCTTGCCACAAATAAGTCATTGTCGATATGAGACATCTATTCGTTATTTCTTACTGTTTATTGGCTTTCTAGATGATGTTAGTTTGTCCTTGGATTCGGACCACTATATGTATTTTGGAATCACCAAACGATTTTCCTTACTGCTACATATTTTCTATGGATTAATTACACTTCATCTCGTTCTATAACTGAAGAAACTTTTTCATCACATTTATAATAAATAGTATTTTTTTATGGGACCTGTAGTCGACTTAGCGCCAATTAAAAATCATATAGTACCTGATAGATGTTTCCTTTCGATATATGAAGTCATCCCCGATTGTGTAATAGTATGGTAATTGTGTGGTATAAATGAAATAATAATATCCAATTCAATATTGAATCTGAGAACTATTAAACTAGTTACATTATTAGTTCGTACCGTTAGATTCTTCGCATTCACTGGTTCATTAGCAGATATTGTAGTGAATGAACACATATGGGGAAGACGAATTCACTGTTTGATACAAAATTACAGAGCATCTTCATAAAATATGAGAACCTTACACTAGATGCTTCGGTTGCAAATCTTCCATCAATCGTCCTTAATATTCTGTGTGATTCTTCAAATCCACAGTTCCTTCCTATTTCCCTTTTTGTTTTCCTCAACTCGATGTTCTTAACTTTCTGCTGCCAGGTTTTTCACTTCCGGTTGGTGTTACATACTACTTATGTCGACCGACGTAAGTAGCATACACTACACTCGTTCACCCTTTAAACAGTCGCTCTTGCGGTTGTTCTGCTCGCCGTGCTACCTTCTTTGCTAAAATCTGTGCTACGCTCCCCGTTAAAATGTCGAGTCTGCCGGTATGCTGACCTCCATAGCAATGTTGATATAAGTAGCATACACCACAATATCACTTCATAATGTAAACTGTATTTGATCCACTGAGAAACTTAATAACCTACCTAGCGCCATGTTGTTTCATCATTTACTGCCTTCATGGTATATGCAATAAATCTATTTGCATACAAACATTGTTCTTCACAAATAACATTCATATACTTTTTTCGACATTAATAGCTCATTAGTTTGAATCATAAATTCTGCTCTAATCTACGCTTCCTTAATTCAGCTTACCTATCAGATGGTTATCACACATACATTTTGATGATTTCTAGCTTCATAATACACAAATTTTTCCAAAGTTGCTTTATATTATTTATATGAAGTATTCTCTTTATCCTTTTTATTGTGTTGTATTTTCTCATTAGGTAAACAGTGTAGTGAAAGTGACACTGAATCTGGACTAAATAATGAAATCAATGATAGTCAATCAACTTCTGTAATGATTACTCATGTTAAAGTACATACGGATGAATCTCATGTTTAAGTAGCATTCATATATACATAGTGTATCCTGTTTTTATTTGTTTGTCTTAACCACTTTATTTTTGCACAATTCACAATAATGAATAGTAATGAAATTGTATTATCAAAACCATTGAGTTTTAAATACAGAGCTATTTGTTTCTCATACTTATTTTTATTATCCTCTTTTTTTTCTATTGAAAAGAATAAAAAGTTAAACCTTTATCAGTCGATTTAATTCTCTCATATACGTTTGCATAATTAATGGGTAATTTGTATATTTTTTTAATCTCCGTTGTTGACGGACTAATTGGTTGGTTTAAATGATTGATTGATCAATTGAACATTCAGACAATTTTTTCTTTGTTTTGAATATTGTTCGTTTATTGATGCATTGTGTTACTATTGTGTTTGTGTTTATTTGTTTGACTGTTATATCCTATCAGATTTCGATTGTCAGAATCATCATAACGCATTTCATATAATTATGCATACACATATTTGGCCGTGTATAAATACGATTTCACTGTATTGAGATTTATAACTTGGTTTAATTAACATTATTATACGTTAATTTTCTTACCGGTCAACTGATTACTAATTAATCTGTTCTTCATAGAATTAGATAATATCTTATTTTGTGATCTCTTTTTATCATTTACCTTATTTTTCACGAGCTTGTTTAGAATAAAATGAAGTACTTTTATCTATAGAGTTGTGTTTGTTATTCTATGATTGAAGACGATAGTTGTTTAGACTAGAAATCACCTTATAATACTTTTTTGAAATAATCAGTTTAGAGATTTCGCTAGTTGGATTTTTGAGGCAACAGATAAAATAGTTCCAGTTTCATAATGTATCTGCCACTTGCAGCACTATGAAGAGCAAAATATAATTGATATTAATAATCAACAGTCTCATCAAATGATTTCTGTGCATTCAGGTTCAAATCTTATTTATATCATACAACAGAGTAGGTAATGGCTAAGGATTCGTAATTATTTGTCAATCATCCCTTTGACTGTACTCACATACTTTCTTAGACAGCTACATTTTTACAAAACAATTGTCTGCAATATAGTAGTTTATTTCTTAGTAGCGACATATATCAAATGTCACCTTGTGACTAACCTATTAGTATTATTTATATATTTGAGTAAATAATTTCCTTATATCTCGAAGGGTTACCAGTTTTGAGATGACTTCAATGCTATATTTTCACTAATATGTTAGTGCTAACTAGTATCCTATAACTAGATTGCAAAATTAACTAAGTTTTAACTTTGTGCTAACCCATTTATTGTTAGTGCAACGGCCGTGGTTGCTACCTTGACGTGATGGTCGGTCTAGCCTATCGTGACGACTCAACCTAGTTATGTTGGTTGTAACACATGTTCCTTCAATTCCTACGATGCCAGGTAGATTGGTTGGAGAACTGTGAGACTAAAAAAAGCAAATTAAGGTCCGAGGGCTAAGTCGTACTGCTGACTGTTGAGGGGTGTGACAACAGTAAGGTGTTCCCCTCGGACAATCACCGTCTGGAGCGGAAGGAAGGAGTTAGAAAGGGCTATATTACACCTTACCTTGGGTTTTCTTCGGCGGTAAGGCTTTTTGAAGTGCGGACCTAGCACGTTAAAAACTTCCAAAAAAAGTCCATGCGTAACTGGCCTCAAGCAGCTATACCTTGGGTTCTGTGGTCATGCTCTCAGGTCGCCATGACGACCACTAATTCTGCTTTTTGTCAGGTCTTTGAAGAAAAAAATATCCTTTCATGATGTGGCAAGCACTCATACCTCTATCAGTACCCGAAACCAACCTTTACACTACTAAATTACTTCTTATTAATTCTCTAATCCCCATGACTAGCTCTTCTCGTATATCCTCATCACATGCCACTGATGCTAATGCTTTGAGTTCACGAAATATTATTCCTAGTCTTTTAACTAAACATCGAAAAGCCACTTAGAGGAACCTTACGGTGTTGCGGCTTAGGGAAAAAAACTTCACAATCGACTTAGCAATAGTCTTAGAAAATCATATTTTCATCATGAATCGTCGGAGAGGCTCAGTATAAGACCGTCGTTCACTCCGGAGCACATGTTGAGACTCGGATCATGCCCTAGCTCGAGCACGTATTTGTCTGCATCTTATTGAACGTGGAAAAGCCACAACAATCCCTTAGACCCCAAATTAGTGGTGAAAAAGTTAAGAATACATTTCGGGAACAACTATAGGAATTAATTGAACATGAAAATGATAGCCACCCCGAGGTAGCTTAGCATGGTATCCAAAAAGCCGTGGAAACATCAATGATATCTACTCGTAAAATTGAACCAAACGGTTAAGAAAAATCAGTGGATTCCCACTTAGTCTACAAATCTGACAGATGTTTGGAAATTCATTCTGTCTGACTCTAACATGATGAGGAGCGGGGGCAGCTTGAAAATAGGCTGATAAAAATTCTACCTAATAAGGAGTGGTACGTTAAGAATGTAGAAAAGACAGTAACAGTAAACAACTGATCAAGCAAACGGGTATTAAAAATTCGATTGTTAGTGAAACTACTTCAGTTACCCGCTATCTTCAATCAACCTAAATGGCAAAGTGATGTAAGTTCCCCAACTCTTAGCGAGATTGAAAAGGGTATAAGTAATCTAGAGCGAGGGAGATCAGACTCTGGATCGTGAACACACTTGATATCCGACTATATTTGTATTCTTCAACCTTAGAGCAGCGTTTGACTCCGTTGGTCGTGAGGTTCTGTGGCAGTATTCACTGAAAGGGGCACCAAAAAAGTACATTAGCCCTGTACAGACTCTACACGAACACTAATGGTCGAGTAAGAGCCTATAGCGAACTGTCGTCAGGATTAGTTATTTCAAGTGTTCATTAGCGCTGTTCACTTTCTCCACTTTTACTTAAATTGGCCATAGAAATGTTTTTAGCCCCCAAGTGCCCTGGTACGGCCGAGAGTGGGGAGAGTCCACTCTCCCTCTCGAAATGCTCTCACATGGCCACGCGTATATAGACTCTGACAGGGAAGTCCTACTGCCTTCTCGTGGCGGGGGGGGGTGTTGTTTTTTCGAAAGTGAAAGGAGTTGGAAAACCCGAATTCCAAACCAATGATGCACATGGGCTCCAGTCTCCTTAAGGAACAAATGGCGTATGAACCGATCGTCGGTCACCGGCTACCATGGGACTGCATCTCCTCATGATGCTTCACTGCCTTGTGGACTAGAGCTTCAGGTCAAAGGCTCGGGGTGTGGCCTCCTAAGAAAACCACCTGCTTCAGTCTGGGCATCTGAGCAGTATCACAGCCCTCCCACAAATCAAATGAGATTTGTGAGGCGCATATTTATCTGGTACCTCTTTGTACGAATATTTATGCGTTGAAATAAATAAAGCGATAACACCCGGACAGTATCATAGCCCTCACACAATCATGTGGCGCATATATATCTGGTGCCCCCTTGTACCAATATTTATGTGTTCAAATAAATGGAAGCATTGCTCATGTATTTTGGGACCATGGAGTAAGCAATGACTGGGTTAGAAATAGGGTACTAAGTATGAATGCCAAAATGATTAATGAGGTATTAAATCTTCTGTATTTGAAGTGATTGGGACATGTGTTACGTATTTTCAACCACTTCCCACCTTGAGGAGCGGTGTTATTTGGTTTAGAACTAGGGTGGAAGAAAGCTAGGGTGCCAAATCAATGCATAACATCATTCCGGAAAATCCATGATAGGAGGTGTAGACTACCTGGTTTTGGTCCACGTGGTTACTATTTGGAATTTTCATCGTGTGTGTTTCGCCCAGTGGTACATCCCATGTTTTGCTTGTCTATCCTGTCTATATGAATAAGGTGCAAATTATGACTGTTCTGTAAATAACAGTTTCCTGTAAATAAGATATCTTGGAATTCAACAGAACATTTTATCATTCCAACATGCTTTAATATATATCCGAATGCATTCCGAACTGTGTTTGATCAATAATACTTGTGGATAGCCCATTAAATTTTATGTCCTTTCATGGATTAACATGATATCTGATGCTGTATCAAACTGTGATCGAATGTGAACACCGTTCGCCAATAATTTCACATATTTTTCATCCGCTTTACTTAATGACGGTGTATGGTATGTATTGTTCATGTACCTTTTTGATATTAGTGAGGATTCTTCGTTAGGTTAGATCTCAAACTTTCTCTAGTTTGGTAGACTGTTTCTTTATGACTGACTTTATCGCATACGGTATATCTATGATTTATAAACCGACAAACTTTTGAGAAATCCCGCGCACCACAACACTAACATTTAATTGAAGGTTTGAAAATTGTCGAGTGATATTTATTACTCTTGATATCAGTTTGTCTACGACATGCCTGAACTGTATGAATAGAATGGTTAGATAACACTATACTTTTGGTATGCATCATGTCTGTATCCTGTTTTAGGTTTATTAATCGTTGACATTCTTCAGCGTCATTTTATTGTCATGTTACATACTGGATAACAACCGCATCAGAAAGTCAGAACTGATGGGAGACAGAAAATGAATAATATGCATTTAAATTGATCACTGGATAATACATTTAACTTAGATCGTTCTGCTTGTAAATTTACTCTACCGGTGTACATAGTGTAGCTTCCTTAGCTGCAGACAATTATACCAACTAAGTAGTAGTGACATCTGTTCACGAAAGATCTTATCTAAAATCTTGACAGTTTCACCGAAATTGACTTGTAGATGTTAAGCCTCGATGCTCATTAGGACCAAGTTTCTGCAACAGCAACCGGACGTTTTTTTAATCGTCCATAGCGGCAAATTCTATACCCTAGTTTGCTAAAACATGCTTCTAAGTTATGGCCACTATCTGCGTCAAAAATAAGCTCTGGAATCGGACTGAAATATGACTGTATACCTTTATGTTCTGGAATATTTGGTTGAATAGAAATTCTCCACAAAACTGCTTCCAGGAGTTGTTGCTTAGAAGCTAACATCTTCTGCTACTGTATTAGTAACTGCAATTGTTCGGAAGGAGTACCATTTTATTCATTCTCACTGCTAGCACTATTATTTTCCTCATGACAATTGTGATGATTGATGCCCCTAACAAAATTGTCAATCAGAATACCGACCTATATGACCTTGTTCCTGTGTTAAACCAACGATGTGTCAACCAGCACTATAATCCTTGCATCAAATCTGAATCCTTATTTGTCCTCAATATAGCTTCTCGCCTAACACTACTCGTTGAGTCCAGAGCACAATATTCGCCTCCGCTGTATCAATCATCTATTTCAGACGTGCATAGTTTATATACAAGCAGACCAGACTTTATAATAACAGCAAATCGTATAATATTACCTAATAGGCCAAATGAAGGTTTATGATTAAAAAAATTGTAAATGTATACCTTCAGAGAATATATATATATATATATACCATTAATTCAATCTTCTACGGATAAAACTGTTATCGCTCATACTTTTAATATCTCTACTACTCTGGGATTCCGCCTGACGATTTCCTCGCTCTTTGCTAATGAGGTTATCAGTCAGAAGCTCATCAATGACATTAAGAGCATGATAAATTTTTCCAACAAGGAAAAATTATTTATCAAATACTTATTCCTGTGATTCTTTATTACTGTACTAGTCGATCGAAAGATATATAAACGGTAAAAGCTGAAAATCCATAAAAATCCTTTAGGCGCTAGTTACATTGTTTTCTAGAATGAGTAGAAAAATGTAGCTGTAATATTAGTAAATTTTGGTAAACTGAGTAAATTATTTCGTCTAATTTCACAAAGTCGTCTTAAGACGGCATGATAACTTCTCATTCTTCGGATTCACACAACTTTAACGATAACATTGATTCAGTGTACAATTGTGTTTTAATTTGCAAACTAACACAATTGTCTTATAGTAGTGAACGAGAACACTAATGGGGACAACTGAATATATTTGAATACAAAATTACAGTATTTCTTAGTAAAATCTGAGAACCATACAGTAATACTTCATTTGCAAAATATCCATCAATTATCTTAGACTTTATTGTTCCTTCGTTTCAACACTAATCATTTTCTGTTCTTGTTCTCTTTTGTTTGATCTTAACTTTCTATATCCAGGCATTCCTTTTTTCGATTGATGATACATACTACTTATATCTGTCGACATCAGTAGCATACACTACATTATGAATAGATAAGTAGATATATTGTACACTCTGTCAATTTTTTACTGTTGATTAATTATGTTATTTGGTTCACTATTCATTTTGTCTGATATGATATGTTTAACTGTAATGACTACAATGAAGTTTTTTAGTTACGTTAATAAGTGATCAATAAATTTAATCAGCCCTGACTGATAATATAAAGATGATACTATTTTCGTTAGTGTTCAATAAATATTCAGGTATTAGTAATATATGAATATGTATGAATCCAATAGAATAAGCTGAAATATAAATTATAAACTAAGAAAGTTTGGTTCAGTAA